ATCCTATAAACCACATTATTCATACTGAATTGTGGTTAAAAATACATTTCTATTGGAAATGTTAACAATTGATTCCGAGATATGATTGCATCAGAATTGCTATAACATGTATATTTCAATTATCTCGGCCACTAATTAATTATTACTTATTAATATGATTAATTAAATTTTACAGTTTTTGTGTACATTTTAATAATTACAAAGTTTGTAATAATTACATTTCTGTTAATAATTATACATTTCTGTATAATAGTATTGTTATTGCTTTTAATTTTACTTGATTTTTAAAAATGATAAATATTATAATCATTCAAATATGAATTGAATGATTATAGCATGATTTACAATTTGTACAATTCGTAATACTATTAATTTTTCTAATTATGGGGCGTTATTTTGAACTGCCCCAAAATGAGAGCCCCAAATAACATTTGACGATCACGTCGAATAGTATTCCATCCGTCCATCCAATACTAATACCTACAGTACATGTATCTATTGATATATAATATGACTTTTTCATAGAATAAAAGATTTGATATTCAGATTTTCCCGAAAAAGTGGTCACTTCGGTCAAACCCGAGGTCATGTGACCACACCAAGTATATCATGAAATTTCTAAGAGAGTGTAATTTCATTTTATAACAATAAACGCCATCCTATCCCACAGATGGGCACTTCTTTGGTAATACTGTATTACAAATATATTATCATTTTAAAAGTTATTAGGACTTTAATAGTTTGTATATTTTCTAAATTACCATTATTTATAAACATACACTACAATTAAAATGTTTTAAATATTGACCATATTGATTGATATTATATTGAATTGCAAACTTTTGGCTTTTTACTCTAAATGTCTATTAGAAACTACTTTCCACATCAATAGCATAAAGTATAGTATAGTTTAGTGGACTCTTTGATTGCATCAAATCATTTGAATGACTGGCCATCCATGAAGTGAATCACTAATCACTACAACAATTAAAATGCAAATGAAAACTATTTGAAATGCGTTAATGTTTTTGTATTGATATAATTAAGACAAAACTTATTACTCAATGCTATAATTAATTGAAAGAAAACAAAACTATTTTCACTCGACTTATCTTTGAAACCAAGAGTTCGTTAATCCTGTTGTCTGTTTGACATCAAAAGATTGTCATCAATCATGTGATCGACAAACAGTCTTCACTCGTTGTTAGAGATCTGTTCAGTGAACCACTAATTAACGCACAATATTCTACAGCAACCACTATATAGTAGTGACAATACAAGTGTAAGTTAACAATACAATCAACTTAATCAATGGTATTAATAATACAGTAATTTCTAAAATACATCATTACACATTTTTATAAATCATTACAAATTAAGCTAAGGTTTAAGTAAAAATCTGTCCCAATAATACACTATAATAATTCAATTTCATTATCTCGAAAGATATTTGAAATAAGAAATGTTCACTTTTGGTTCACTTTAATTCCCGTCGGAAAGTTTTATATTAGATAAATTATTAATATTATTTATGGATCCGATGTACATATTAGCGCTGATTACAAATATAAAGTCTATTTTTTAGTTGGCATGTAGTTTTCGAGTTATTCGACTTTAAAATATTAAAATTTGAATATCTCGAAAAATATTTGAGATAGAAAGATTTAAATTTCAAATTCGAACTCAGGGTTAAATTGTTCGTAAAATCAAACGTATCAACTACATTTTTATTGGAAAATAATTTACCGCATCGACGGGACAGTTCTGATCGGCATTTGGGTCGACACCGAATACATAGCAACGAATAAATGGTAAAACTTTGAACTTTTTCTCGAGATATTAAAGTCAAACAAAGTTAAACTCGACTTACAATACATACAGTATTCTCGAGCATGTATTGCAATACTTTGAGTAAAAATTGAAAAATAACTAAAAAGCAGTTCTTACAAAGCAGAAAATGCACATTCTACTACAATACACATACAATAAGTTATAAAAACAAGCCATAAAAATCTTAAAAACTCAATATTTCAATCCGCAATATTTTGCTTTTGGAATGTTTTTTGTCAAAAAAAAAATTCGACTAATATTATTAAATTTAATGTAGTATTTAACTATATAATTAATTATAATTACATATTAAAAAAATTTTCAGTCCCATAGGTTAACATCTAAAAGTTGGCTTAGTTTATTAGCCTGCCATTTGAAAACGTGCAATCCGACGATTGATATGGCTACTATGATATCTCTACTATGCAACCCTAACCCCACCCCTCCCTTTCATAAACATGGTAGGATTGGACGATGGGTCTCGCAAATGGTCCATTTTCACAAAATATAGTCACGTGACCACAAATATTTTTATGTGCAAAAGATTTGCGGCCATGGATGATGGTCACTTCAGCTGTTCCCAAATGGTGATCAAAACACAGCGCAAAAGATTTTTGACATCCTATTACATAAGGAAAGCACACCATATTTATACTGAAACATTTTTGATCATAATATAATTTTTAACCACAATTCAGTATGAATAATGTGGTTTATAGAATCGTTAGGCCTCTCTCCCCAGCCCCGACTCTATGGGATTTAACATGGGTAATGCTAAGTCTATGGCATATGGATAACGTGTGTAATGGTATATCAATGGGACAATGGGATTATAAATGAATGTGCCATAATAAATAGAACTAATTGTTGTCAAAAACATTTAAAATTCTCAAAATAATAGTGAAAGTATTCTAATAGTATTGAAAAATTTAAAATGTTTGATGCATTTGCCGAATTGTGGTTAACGCATAGCATCGCTGTGTGTGTTGTTTGTGCTACAAAAGTAGAAACCAACCAGATTTTGTGCTTTACAAAGCAGGTAAATTACCTTTAGTGCCTGGCTGGTGCTGTGTGCATAGAGACCAGGTAGTGAGACACATAGGTAGCTCAAATATCCGTCCACAAGATTATTACAATTTGCAATAAATTGATTTTTAAAACTAACCTAGGTCACCAATTAGATCCAATAACCATCAGTTAACCATCAAGTAATATAATAACAATTTTAATATAATATAATGTAAATTTCATTTAATACAAATGAGTTATTATTTAAATTACCGGTAGTTATAATATAAAAATAAATTTAATTTAAAATCCAAATCTATTACTAATGAGTGATTTAATACATAATAAATGATTGCTGTGAACAGAAATGGATTATACCAACAATGGTAGTGTACTTTAATATAATTGTTAACTATATTGTCAACACATCAACTGGTATTGTGTTGTCATAATCACAGTATTAATCCTAATAATAATCTTCAATAAATACTATCATTGAGTGAACATTGAAATTACAGGATAATGGTAGCAATGATATAACTATACTATAAAACAAAGTAATATTAGCGTTAACATTGAGCACCCATTGCATTGCATTGCATTGCCTATCATTCATCACATGTTTTCAATTTTTACGTTTTCGGAGTCCAAAGAATGATCGCTTCTTCTCGGATGAAACCATTTTATTGTTTGGTTCCGAGTGTTCACTCAATTCACTCTTGTTATTATTATTTATACTATTATTAGTTATATAATTAGCACTACAACTCGGGTTAATGGGTAAGGAGTGAAGCAATTGACACGTTTCTAATTGAGTGCATGATTCTGAGTGACACAACGAGTCGTTCGTCTCTTCAAACGTGTGTCCGCACTCTTGCTCTTCACTAAAACTTTTGGCCATTTTTGGTCGATATCGAGAATTAGCATCTTTTGTGTCCCCTTTGATACTATGGATGACAACAATAATGTCAATTCATACTCAAGTCATTGATCCAATCATTGCAAACCCTTTGCCAGTTGTGAAGGGGTCGATGGTCTGTGTGCGTCCGTTGAGTGGATCCGGCCATGAAGTGTCATCCAAATGATCGCTTCCACGAGTTGTAGCATTGGTTGCCATTAAATCGTTTAGATTCTGTTCAAATGTTAACGTAATGTTCAACGTTTCTACAATTTACAAACTAATCGCATCTATATTTTAACGGTTCATACCTTTTGATGGCTAGAATTTGCATTAAACGAATGTAAAGATATTTTATCAGTGTTTAAACCAATGTCATTGATGTTTGCCATGGATTCTATTGGTAGTATAATATAACAAAACTGTAGAGTCAAGTAGAGTACAGTGTAGTGCATATATTGAAAGCATTGCAATACTAGTTAAATCAAACAGTAATGTCATAAGACTAATCAAATCTAACATTATGATGGCTATCGCTTACCGGACACATCAAGAGAGTCCTCATCAACAATAGTAGTCTCACTGCCGGCGTGTGAGAGTCCCAAAGTAGGCACAGAACCAGACAGACTATTGGCTGCTGAACCATACAATGCCTGTTCCAAGTATACAATACCCGGATTATGGACAACAGAAAAGCCACAGTACATCTCGATGTGATGCCAGCGCTGCACTCTTTCCTGCAAATCTCGTGTCACTTCCTTGAGAGCAGTCTTGGCCTCAAGTATACGATTGTCGACGTCATCGATAGAGTTTCCGTGAGCCACACGAAACGCACCCAAAACAGAGGCCCTCTTTTTCCTCAATTTCTCGCACTAAACACACATCATATGACATACAATGTATTATTCACTAGTTTATAGTATAATCTTACTGTTATATATAGTTATAACTAGTGATGATAACTAACCCCTTCCTTTGCTGCATACAACTGCAATTCTGCGGCACAACGCTTAGCATTAAAGTTCCTCATTTCGATCTCATGTGTCAATTGCAACCATTGCTGTAGAGACAAAGGAGGCGCCCATCGAGACGATGAGCCGCCGCTATTGTTCTGAGCTCTGACTAGTTGTTCGCCAACTCTTTTGAGCTCTTCTTCGAGTTCGCAGATGCTACGATTGTCGACGTCATCGATAGAGTTTCCGTGAGCCACACGAAACGCACCCAAAACAGAGGCCCTCTTTTTCCTCAATTTCTCGCACTAAACACACATCATATGACATACAATGTATTATTCACTACTAGTATAATCTTACTGTTATATATAGTTATAACTAGTGTACAAAGTTATTTGTTAAAACAAATAAAACCAAATAAAACACACGAAATTTAAAAATAATACAATTTGGTTTTATTATTAAAACCAAATAAAACCAAATTTTGGTGGTTATTAAGTTGCTAAATGTGACCACATATCACCTGTTTTGTGGATGGTTTTAAAATTGTTTTGTTCATTCGTACATAATTTTGTATATTTAATTGTTTTTCAATATATTAAATGCACAAAACAACATTTTGGCCATTTGTAGCAATTTCGCTGCCTACATAATAAGTCTCGCCTATAATATTAAGTAAAATTATTTGGTTTATACAACAAATAAAACCAAATAAAACTAAATTTTTAAAAAATTATTGATAAATCAACAAATAACACCAAATTTTCCTCAAAATTAATAAAACCAAATAAAACACACGAAATTCAAAAAAATAATAAAACCAAATAACTTTGTACACTAGTTATAACTAGTGATGATAACTAACCCCTTCCTTTGCTGCATACAACTGCAATTCTGCGGCACAACGCTTAGCATTAAAGTTCCTCATTTCGATCTCATGTGTCAATTGCAACCATTGCTGTAGAGACAAAGGAGGCGCCCATCGAGACGATGAGCCGCCGCTATTGTTCTGAGCTCTGACTAGTTGTTCGCCAACTCTTTTGAGCTCTTCTTCGAGTTCGCAGATGCGAGACATGTCTTCGAGCGCTGTATAGGACGCGGATCTTTCGATTTGAGACTCATTTTCCTTCAATTTCTTTTCCAAATTCACTTTTTCGATGACAACAATCTGCTGTTCGCGACGTGTTTTGTCCAATTCTCGTTGTAATCCAATCAGCTGTTCCTCCGCTCTCTGCAAACTGTCCATATCTGCAATCATTTTCTTGAGATGTGACTGCGAGTACTTGTGCTGAACGAATGCAAACCAAACGCCTCCTATCGCTATCACTACCGAAAACATGAGCAAAACATCTTTGATATAATTGTGATGTTTGGGCGCTCCGAACAGCACCACATCCATCGCTTTGAGGGCCAGCTTTTGCTTATGGATTGCGTTAGTAATGCCCAGAATCGATATAAACTGTGTGTTTGCCGCCAGTCTTTACAGCAAAACAAATTACAATCTCATCATTTCATCGTGTGATGCATACCGGGGGAGAGCCAGTCCATCGACAGCATTGTTTTCAAACTGAGCCACATATTGAGGCAATTCAACCACATTACACAACCAGTCAATGGTCTCGTCACTCGTCCAGTTCCTCACCACCGATCCCTTCCACGCTCTCCACAACTCATCCACTGTAATGTATTTGTCGTTTCCGTGAAATGCTTTATGTCTTTCGTGTCCGTTCTCGTACTTCAACTCGTCTCTCAAGAACTAATCAACGATCAACCACTTTAACAACAACAGCAACAAGAGGGTGGTTGCACAAGGGGTGCACTCACCTCATTGCTTTCCGAGATGTCCACATTGCCGTTGTGGTCGTCATCCAGCTGTCTGTGCAACCATTGGATCGCTTCAAAGCCCAACACATCCCCGCAATAGTCCAACTCTTGACAACTCCATCGACCATCACATCCAACTCCAGTGCAAGAGATGCCTAAACCAAACATAACCACACTTTCAATACAATGTAATCAATCATATGTTTAGCAGTGTTTCACCCGATGTTTGTTGTGGTTGTTGTGGTTGAGAGACAAGTGTTCGCACCTGTAGTACGAGTACTACTAATACTTGGAGTAATACATGTGTAATCATTGTGTCAATACTGGTATCACTTGTAACTGTTTGACACAAGACTGGACCAAATGAGCGAAACAACTGAAACAAGTTGTCATCCAATATGTTGTTGTAGTGGTTGTTGTTGTTGTGCCAAAACAACACCAATGCTTACATACATAACGTACATAACGTACAGTTAGTTGAGAGTACACTGTATTACGTGAGTATACTGTATGTGTTGATAGCATTACTCAATAGTATTGCACAGACTGTACAGACTGTACACTACAGTACAGTATGTATTACTCAATACAATCAGTCCATACCTGGTATAGTGTATACCATATACTGTACAGTCTGTATACAAATACAAATCTATACAAATAGTGCACAAATAGACAAACAATACAACATTTGGTCAATAATGTCAATAAAGTTGTGCCAATAATGATGACCAGTGGCCACGAGTGGTGACGATCGCTGCCATCTCTGCGGGAAGTGACGGGAAGTGATGTCTGATCCGAGTGTCTGTGATGTGGAGTATGTGTTGAGGAAAGGGAAGCGAACGAGTGCTTCATTTCTTAGACAACAATTACTAAACTCTGACAACACTGACGACACTTCACCTAAACTATTGTCACAAATCTGTTCCGTTGTGTTTGATGTCCGCAAATCGATCGCCGATTGGGATACCATAGACTGGATCTCTTGGATCACTGCTGGCGGCTCTACACCCGACGAATTTGCACTCGAAGGTAAGTGGTGTCCAATTGTTGAATATGTGGTCAATTGGTTTGCAGTGAAGAATGTGTTTGGTTTGCAGTGAAGAAGTACGACAACGCGACCAAATGCGGACTGGTGTGGACGGCCAACTTTGTCGCCTACCGGTGCCGCACGTGTGGGATCTCTCCGTGTATGTCATTGTGTGCCGAGTGTTTCAAGAAAGGCAATCACGTCGGACACGACTTCAATATGTTTCGCAGCCAAGCGGGCGGAGCGTGTGATTGCGGCGATGACTCGGTCATGAAGGTTGGTATTGTCGCAGCACTCACCCATTGACCCATTGATTCACTCATTAACGCTTCGTTGTCCTTATGGTCACCACAGGAACAGGGCTTTTGTGTATATCATGGCTCTAAAGCCCAATACGATGTGCCACACCTGCCCGACGACTTGCTATGTGTGGCCAAAGCTATTATGCCGCGAGTCATACACCGATTGATATTACATTTACGCAAAAACAATATTGAAGGTTAGTTTGAATTGCATTCACTATAGCTATGTTGTCATCAATGATTACTTTGAATTGTTTTAATAGCTATTGAAGAGTCGGATGTCTATATTAAAGACTTGTTACTAAAGCTAACAGAAATGGGGGCCGCAATGAGGAGTGTATTGAGTGATGCCTTAACTCAACCTAGTTGTTATTCTAGTCTTGCATTAGGTATTAATGATTATACCATTAGGTATTAATGATTGTCTCATATATTGATTAATATGTGTTGATTACGTGAATTAGTGTGCGATAATAGTGATACAGAAAGAGCTGATATAATGGCACAACTGATTGACAATTACAACTCAGCCAAGCGTTTGATGTCCCATTTTAGAGTACCCGTTGATTCCGATGAGTTCAAACTTGTTTCCAGTAAGTGTTGATTACATTTATCTATTAAATCTCACCACATATTGCCGTCCATTACAGATATGACTGCATTTCAAAGCCAATTAACACACAAAACTTTTCTCGATGAACTCTTATTCTGGACAATTGTTTATGAATTTCCTCAGAAATTAGTGTGTTTTCTATTGAATATGTTGCCCGACGAGAGGTATAAGGTATGTATTGGTGTTGCAGTGTATATGTTATATATAATATATACAATTGAACTCTCAACTCTCGCCCTTCACTATAGGAAGCATTTGCCCAAACATTTGTGTATCATTACAGTCGCATTAGTATTATGTTGTGCCGCTCTCGGGGTGGGGACAGGGGTTCGCGTCCAAAGGACAGTCTGCACGACATTTTATCTAATTGTGTGGTTCACGTGAGCGTACAGTTGTTTAGCAACGAAGATTTGGCCACAAAACTGTGCCAAACAACTCAATTACTTTATGTGATAGTTATTAGTTTAAAGTATCCGATAGAAGGTTGTGCTGATGAGGAGGACATGACAGGAATACTAATGTCAAACCCAATGCAAGACCCGAAGAAGAACGCACACAATGTGGTTCGTTGTGATCACCAGATTCTCAAAGAGCACTGGTATTGGCCTATTGTTAGTGACCTAAACAATGTGCTCACACACCGACCGGTCGCTCAACTCTTTATCAACGATTGCGCTCTTCTAGACCTTTGGCTCGAATTAATAATGGCTTTTCAAGGCATGAATCTAAATGAACGCCAACTTAGCGAACACGTGGAGTACGAAAACAACGCTTATTACTCTGCTTTCAGTGCCGAACTCGAGATCTGTGCCACTCCTATGTGGACACTCATCTGTCATCTCAAAGACTCGGTGCGAAATAACAGCAGTAGCTATGATTGCTATATGATTGTTGTACTCTTTCTATACTTATATACATGTATTTATTTCTACCACAGGAATCGGCCGAACAGTCGATGCAGATCATCAAACACGTGATGCATTGGTTGCAGACTTGGTTTGAATTGATTGCTTTCGCAGAGGACGACACACCCAATCCAATGCAATCTACTTTTCACATACCATTACACAGATATCTGTCAGTCTTCATACAACACGCCGTCAACTACCAGAACGTGACACTCGAGCACATACTTGACATACTTCCTAAGCAAGAGTTTCTCAAACAACTATTGGCACATCCCTTACAAACGACTGTATCATTCTATGAAATCCTTTGTGGTCTTTGGGTTAGAAATGGATTACAGATCAAAGGCCAGGCGATGACATATATTCAGTGCCACTTTTGCAATTCAATGGTCGATTCCGATCTTTTTCTCATACAACAAGTGGCCACACATGTCGACTCTGATTGGTTCATACAAACAGTGTTTGAAAGGTTGTTAACTATCATCGATGATAACACTGTTATTAACAGTAATGTAATGTTTTGTTAGGTTTCACGTCTGGGATTGTCTGTCACTATCGTTAACAGAAACAACTTCTTGCAAAGGCTTTCTCGAATCGGAACAAATTCTTCCAATGTTAGAGTCGGCGCTGACACACATCGCAACTCTCCTATCAGTCCATAATAATCTTGGAATGAGTGAAGAACAGGTGACCCGCAAGGAAATGGTCGCTCTATTAGCTATGGGCGACAAAACTCATTCACAACTATTGGATTTATTGCCTGAAAAGTGCGGCACTCAGTCCTCGCAAAACTCATATTTTGAGTCTACTCTTAATCGTATCGCAGAATTCAAGTCACCCAATGTTGAAGTTGGCGGCAGTCTCGGTAAGCATCCAGTATTGTATAGGTGTGTATAATGTTATCATTTCTCATGATGACCACAGTTCAGGGACAGTTTTATCCCAAAGCCGACGTTTGGGCCAATGAATACGATCCCATTCATGTTCTTTTGCGAGCCGTACACAGAAGGGACTACCAGTCATCGATGGACAGATTTGCCCAATTGTTTGTTATCTAATGACATATTTGTATATAGATGTTGATTATGTTTCTTATGGCAGTGCCCGACACAGTGGCAAATTCAAGTCGTCATCCCAACCGTGGCCTCCTTTCCATATCCCTCCCCCCGTTGACAGCAATAAGTTTGTTGACCCCCGAAAATTACTTCACAGTAAAGTATTGCACGGAATTATATTTACTATTTTATACAAAGTAAGTGTTTTTCAATCACTTAACTCACACATCGAGGTCTCATAATTGATTGCATAATTGTTAACTCCATGACAGGCCGTCTATTGTCATGAAATGCCCGATCAAATACTGGCACTCACTATATATTTGTTAGATATGGCCATCCGTTTCCCATCTCCCGTTTCATCAAACACTGACTGTCCACAAGTGCCGGCGGCCAATGAGGTCCTGGACCTACACTTTGGCCAATGGTTTCCCTCCAATTGGATAATGTCTAGTCTCATAACTCCAGTCAAAAATGTTAAATTACTTGAAAGGCGGTCATCACTCGATGGCGCCGTTGAAGAGATGGATATCGACCAGCATTCGGATGACAGTCCCGGAGAAGACGAATACATGAGCGACGAAGACCAACAGCCATACGAAGTGCACAGTCCGGCCACCAGTGAACCCGGCGTTGAAACTAGAAGTCTTGAATCTTCTGTTCAAAGACCACAATTGCCCTCTATTTCAGTGCCGCTGGCATTGTTGCCGCCGCCCAACTCTACCACAACTTTAGTGGCTGTCGATCCAGATAGTCGTCAAATGGCTGCCAACACATCTAATTATGACGATTCCAATCTTAATTCCAGACCCAGACTTGTTAACAGTGAGAATGTGGCCATCGATGCGGCTAACACTACCACTAATGAGGATATGTCTGTGTCTGTGGTGCCATCATCTGCTGGTCCCGCAAGACTCCGCTCTCGCACTCATCGTCTAAGACCTGTTCGATCGTCTGACCAAAGGATGGTATTGTTGAATCGACGACGACAGGGACGGCTCTTTGACTCGTCTAACAACAACCAAACCACAAACCAAATTGAGTTGAGTTCGGCATCGATTGGCATGAGTGGCATGAGTGGTGCCAATCCTCACTTAGCTGTTAATGAACTAATGAGAGCTCTGCCCCCATCTTCTGGCGTTTCCTCATTGCCAGTCAATGAGACGATTATCTCATTATTAGTTAGACTCCATTCGAAGCTCAGTGGGAAACCCGATTCATATAAGCCGATGAAAAGTGACCAACAAATGGACAGTCGTATAGGCGATGGGCCGTATTTTATTGAACAACTTCTTAATCAATTTATTCAATTGAATGTCAGCGGAGAGGACATAATCAATGAGACGAGGGCTACAATTTGGACCAAAAACACCAATGATAGCCAACATTCTGACAATAATTATTCTCAAAATGAAGAGTTAGATCGAGAAGAACGCAAACGCAAAGCTCGCGAAAGGCAACAGAAACTTATGGCAGAATTTGCTTCAAAACAAAAGGCTTTTATGAAAAATATTGAAAATGAAATGAATAGCAATGATTGTGACGAACAAAGCGGCAAATCTTCAGACATGTCATCCAGCGATTCGAGTCCATCACTGCTTCAGTCAAAGGAATATGAATGTGTGATATGTGGACAAAGCGGGCCGTCGGCTAACAGTCAATTGTTTGGTCAGGTAGTACTCCTCCAATCCACCAGTGTTTTGGGTCACTCAACAGCTGTCCAGCAAAATGCCAAACAAAACGCCAAACTTCCCAATTCTGACGAAGAAGTGCTGTGTTTACAGAATATGCAAACATTGGCTAAATTTATGGAACAACGCATCGATGAGATGGACCATTATTTTGATAAGAATTCATGGCTCAACTCATTCAATATTGGTTGGGTTGGAGGCGTTCACGTCCAGTCTTGTGGTCATTACCTTCATATCGATTGTCATAAGTCTTATATGCAATCGTTGCGTGGCATACAACAGGTCCACAACCGTTATGGTATAGAACAAGGAGAGTATTCGTGTCCACTTTGTCGCCAAATGGCGAACAGTGTTTTGCCCATCAATCCAAGTATGGGTGAAATTGGCGCTATTGTCAAGTGCCGACCAAATGACATGAATGCTGTTGTGCTGGAGATTCATCACTTGCTCTCCAGTGTCTCTCATCCAGATTCAGAATTTCTCAAACTCTTAGGCAATGCAATTGAAGACCTGACAAAAGCAACTGGTCCTCAGTATAGGAACATTAGGGTCTCTCCCAGTCATCAAAGCTTATTCCTCTTTCTGTGTTCCATCACTAGAACTAATCTCGAATCAGATCTTCTCATTAAACAAAGTCGAAGCACTGCCTGTGGGGCTAAAAAGTCCTGTTTTGGTGAGTGAACTGACCATAGTTGAATATCATCTCAATAATGATGTTTACTTTGTACTATTGCTACAACTTTTTAGTGCCTTTGTTTCACGTGTTGGCATTAAACGCAAAAGTGGTCATCACTACCCCTTATGACAACCTCTGGTGCCAATTAACTGGCCTTACAGTCGAAGAAAATAATTTAAGCTTAACTACAATTGAAAAGGAAGTGCCGCTTTTTTTTAAAGACGTTTCCGCACTTTTGATTCAACTTTTTTATGCATTACCTCTTAATGTTGACAAAGGTTTGTAATTATTGATTAACTATATGTACGGTACAACACTTTTAGTTAATTATTGTTAATTAATTATTGTCATTATACAGCATATTTCACGGTTGTTGTGCAGACTCTGGTCAATCTGAAGGTAATGCAAGCTTTGGCTCAGTTATCAACTCTTATGACGGAAAGCCGAAGAATGCAATTTAAACAGCAATCACTTAACACTTGTGGTCATGATTTTAATGTATTGACTACTCAATTGAGTTTCATTATCGATCACTTGGAGTGTAGTTCTCTATTTGCTAATATGGACGAAGAAGTTAACGCTTCGGTAATATATAACTAATTTTGATTCATTTTCGTCATCACTTGTAATTTGTAACTTTGTTGTCAGACTAAGTGCTGGTCTGATTCAGAGGTGGAAGAGGCTGTTATAAACATATGTTTGCCGTTCCTTCGATTGGCATCTATGCTCTGCCATCATCTCTATTGTGAACCTTTTCCCACATTAAGTGATAATATATATGAAGAGTTTAATACTTTGGTTCGTTTCTTGTCGTTGGGTTTAATGCCGAACAACAACTCACTCACAATCAGTCCAATCACTAATTGCCTTAAGTGGACGTGTGAAAGGCCTAAACATCTGGTGCACACTTGGTGTCAAGAATTGGCTAATTTCACATCCAAATCATTAATAGGCGCCCGAGTATTACATATTAAATACATATACCTTTATAACAAATATTAATGACACCATTTTGATGACTAAATAGAAACTTTTAAGAAAACCTCCCCTTCTTTGGATTCGGCCATCGCTGTTACGTTTGCCTACTCTTTATGACCAACTGTTTATGTTCTATCATCAAAGACAGTGCCGCTTATGTAGTAAAGTGCCTAAAGACCCCTCTATTTGTCTCATATGTGGCACTTTGGTCTGCATGAGAGAGAACTGTTGTCGTTCCGAATCCTGTTTGGAAGCAGTCTTTGTAATACATTCTTTGTCTTATACAACAAAGCATTGAATAATTGCAAACATTATTCTCATTATGATTAATAGCACTCAAACATATGCGGTGCCGGAACTGCTATTTATTTGGCCTGTAATTCCTCGACAGTGATTGTCGTACGTGGAAAGCGCGCCTGTGTTTGGGGTTCAGTATATTTGGATCATTTTGGCGAAGAAGATCGAGATCTTAAGTATTGCTTTTTAGTATAAAGTATCTTATATTTAACAACAAATCATTTTAGACGTGGAAAACCACTTTACTTAAGCGAACAGAGGTATTGGATATTAGAGCAGCAGTGGTTGACCCATAGTTTCGATCACACCAACAAACGCTGGGTCTTTCATAAGGATATGCTCTGACACTGTCATCACAACTGCATACTCTATGTGCACATCAAATATAGTCATCACAATTATAACTATTGTATCATTTTTACAAATAATCATTGTTTACTATCAATTCAATAATCCTCTATCTGTGATGAGACTCACAGTGAGAGAGTAATGACTATCAGATGAGGCAACTTACAACTTAATGACTATAATTTTCATACATTGTGATAGAATTACAATTTACTCATTCTAAATAACTGTAATTAATGTTTCCCATTCTAATAGCTTTCAATTAATAAAATCATTTAATACACTATGATTACAATTATTACGTTATTTAAAAGCAGTATGAAAACAATTTACCGGTAATAGACTTACTTTATAATTCAATTTAATGTGGTATACAATGTACAGTATAATACAGTACACTTAGGGATGCAGTGACTAGACTATTTAGGATCACTTGGAGATGTTTCCGAACGGCTAGCGATTAAATTAACGGTGTTTTTACATTATTTTAATGCTAAAAAATTCCCGAAAAAAGTAATTTTTAAAATAAAACCCCAATCAAAGTTTAATAACAGGAGGTATAAAATCTATACCCACACTGCCGTCAACCCTGATATACCCCCTACTGATTACCACAGATACCCATCACTTCTAATGTCGGTAAGAGAAATGGTGTTAAAAATGGCAGATGTCATCAAATCGGGAGTGTCTTCAGTTTTTGGTCTTAAAATCAAGTTTAATCTTCAATTAGGAAATTGAAAAATTAGTGACACAATGGGGGATAGTATATGATTGTTGCAGTGAATAGACCGCTGATCAAAGTTTATTATCTTAGGAATAAAATATTTACAAATAATGATATGTTTAGCGCTCATAATTAAGTATAATTCCTTATATATATTAATACTGTTAATATCTTGGTGAATCAATAACCACGTCATTATAAAATTCCCCCCAATCTATCACAACACTCTTCTGATTAATAATCAGTGATTATTATGCAATTCCGGAAGCACCTCATATCAAGGTGAGACCCCCGCCGGGAGTCGGGCCCTCATTCCGGGAGACTCCCGGGCAACCAGGAGCTTCTGGTAACCCTATTGTATTAATTTTCCGTAGAGATAATCGGCGAATGGCCACAAATGACCGAATTATGGACAAAATTCGAAATAAATACATAGAATTTAATTGAATTCACGCAACATTAAATGTATTGAAAAGTTGTGATGAATGGTGAATCACACACAGCACAAGTTTATGCATTAGATGCTATGTATTTATTTCGAATTTTGTCCATAATTCGGTCATTTGTGGCCATTCGCCGATTATCTCGACGGAAAATTAATCTATGAACCGTACTGAACATGTCCATACCTACAGTAGCGTTAACCTTTCTGACGCACCCCAGCAATTTGCCAGCCCTTTGTCTAATTTTAAACCACAGATCAGCTATGAATAATGTGGTTTATAGGATCGTTATATACAACTATAACACTTAGGTGAAAATGATGAAAATGTTGGCTTTTAAAATGTTCCTTGGTTAAAAACCCAAAGCAAGTTAAGTGAGCAAGTTGAGGTTCCATTGTTACAAACTTAAGTTCACGATAACTAATGATTACATAACAGTGTTAATAGTGTTATCATAACATAATGTCTCAAATCAATAACATTTGAGTTATAAACGGATAAAATCTTTGCAATAAATATACAATTGTATGCATTCATCATCTGTACTGTACTATAAAGTATTAGATACTTTAAAATGCATAAATTGACGCTTTCTTGACTACTTTAACAGTAAATGTGGCGTAAGATTAGTGTTGTTTTACGCTCTGCGCAGTCCTGTAAGCGGCCGTCCAAGTGATCAGTCGTTCTGTATTTCAGTCAATCTCTCACTCATATAAAGCACAACATTTCAATTGAGAGCAACTGTTGCGCGATATGAACACACATTCACATTACGTGCAAACCCACCAAAACATACGCTAAACATTTCTTTTTAATTTGCTTACATTTCACACTTTAATCTTTTTTAATATAAGTGAATTTAATAACAAAATCTCTCTCTCTCTCTCTCTCTCTCTCTCTCTTCACTAAATTATACACAACTCCCCATAAATTATGTGAAATTCCCAATTTATTTATATTTATTAATTACTACATTACTGTATTATAACTTTAGATTTTTACATTACTGTATTATAACTTCTCTCTCTCTCTCTCTCTCTCTCTCTCTCTCTTTCTTTCTTTCTCTCTCTCTCCATTCTTTTTTCGTCTCTCGCTATTCATTTTTGTGTTCAAACGATCAATTGATTGAATAAACTTGGAATTATTAAAATAGTGAAACAATTTATGGATACATACAGTGATAAAAAATGCTATGTAAGTTTAGTTCCTTTATTGTAATTTCAAATATTGAATATTTATTATATACTGTTTATAAATTGAAATATAAATTGTAGTTGAATTGTAACCCTATTAGACTACTGTATTCTAATGTAGTTAAAATAATAAAATTTTTATTACTATTTAAGTTTACATACTGTATGAATCATACATGTATAATTTATACAGTATAAAACTTAATGCATTGTATTCCTGGTGAATGACATTAGTCATGTGTAAAGCTCGAATCTTCGGGAGTAAAAACAACTCAAGATTCAGTTTGAGAATAATAAAGTTAAATCCGGGAATTATTGTTTTATTTAAGTTTAGTAAAATAATCAATAATTATACATTTAAATCACTAGAAATTTAGCCATAAATGAGATATCTGTGACCATTGGCATTATCTGTCACAAGAATAATCATCTTTTGGTCACACTTTACATATACATATCGAAGATATCGGGATCAATGAAAACACACATATACTTTTCATCTTACGTTTATTCCTTAAACTTAGGATACTTAAGTAATTTTTTAGCACAAATATATTTTACTTGTTTTATTTATTGATCTATTTTAAAATATTTTATATTATATACTGTAGATTTGCAAAACTGTTAAATATACTGAAAAATTGAATTTGGATTTATTCATATTTGGGATTAATTTTGTGTACAATGACTGCTAAACAACGATAAATCAATTAGAATTACATGCAATCAAATGGCATCGGATAGCAATGAATGCGACATCAAATATAATGACATCACTTCAGACACTCTGTCGGGTAAGTAATGACAGTTGTTGTCAACTATATTGTTGTTATCGTTTTATCAAATTAATCTTAATTAAAGCATTACAATTGTATAAATGCATTATGATCAAGTTGTTCAAAAATAAGCCAACTTAATTGAGTATTGCCAAAGGATGCAGTATATTTCACAAATTTATAATTATTGTGTTGCCTTTGAACATGTGGTGTCTGTCGACTAATGTGTAGGTCGGGCGCCGCGGGGCTATCGGCGGGTAATTATGTCCATACTTTTAGATTAATTTTTAGACAACAATTACACATTTAAGCGTAAAACACAATTGATTTATACTAGATAAGCCGTCATATTTTGTGTGTGTGTGTGTGTGTGTGAGAGAGAGAGAGAGAGAGAGAGAGAGAGAGAGCACATACGCTGCGTCGATGCCGATGAGAGAATCGGGCACGAAGTCCGGCTCCTTATCGTTGTCTGTATCCATCACTTCCGCGTCCAACTGTTCGCACATTTTCTTCGCGTCCGACTTATAATCAATCTTAATGTTGAGGAATGCGTTTAACATGCGGTCCAACACATCCACCGTCAGTGATAGGGACGGGAATACGGGTGCCTTCCAGTTGAAAAGCATCAACTCCTGGAACTTCACCTCCAGATTACGAGCGATCCGATCGCAGGCCAATTGGTTGGCAGTCCGGCCCTCGTTGTTGGTCAGCGTCAGTATCGCTCGCGAGGGCCACAAGTGGGCCAACACGGCGTCGGAGTTGGCATATGTATAGTTAACCAAAGGGGTCGCCATGTGATGATACACTGTCCAGCCGTTGGTGTCCCGGGTTTTGGTATCGACACAGGTTTTGTTGTCCAACTGCGGCTGTGCCGGCCGTACGGCCCAAACCCGTCGGTCCTTTTCGGGCTTATAATCTCGATTTAGTAGAAGTTTTACCATTTTTATGTCATTCTGTGTTTTTAAACATAAGTATTAATCTCTCTCTAATAGTAATCATTGATTACTAATCAACACAAAACCACTGACCAGTCGGACGGCGTGCATAAGTGGTGTGCGACCGGAACTGTCCGGTCGGTTAACATCGACCACAAACTCGTCGCTAGCCTTCAAATTAAGCAAATCCTTAACAATCAAATAGTGGCCACAAATCACCGCCACTATCAACGGGGTATACTTGACAGCGCCGGGCGCCGAGGCTTTGGTATCGGACGTGGCGGCCAATCGTACGCCCGGATACGGACTCTCCGTAAATGGATAATAGGCCACAGCGTTCACGAGCTCCGGATCGGCGGCCAACAGTTTCAACAGCCATTCGGTCACATCTTTGGGCAGAGTTTGATCCGTACGGGTGTGCAGTGACCAGAATAGTGCCGACACCGGTGTCCGGAGTAAGGCATCGGCCGCCAATGCGGCCACTTTGCCGACGCCGCCCAATGCCTCGCTATACTCGCGCATGAGTTGGCAGTTCCAGTTGGCGGCCGCGTATACGATAGCGTTTGAAAAGAACTTCGTGTCCACCGTATGGATCAGCTTTGGGTCGAGTGTTGTCATCAGTTTGACCACTTGGCTCTGGAGGCCAGTGTTGCCGCCAGTGTTGGACTCCATGGCCAGTGTGTGCAATAGTGTCCGCTCCGGGTTGTGAAGTGTGCGCGCGTTGTGTACTCTCTTCAACAGTTTAATGGCCAGATTGTAGCGATTGGTCTTAATGGCGGCGGCGATCACTACACCGGTGCCCACTCCCTGTGCGCCCAAGTCGTTGATCATCAGTTTCAGGACACCTGGAGGTCGCAAACAGTGGTGAATGATAATAAAAAATTAATATTGGATCAACTTTATGGCAAAAATTCGAGCAAAACTTTGGGTAAAACTTTAAGGTAAAAATATGCTATGAGAGGACACCACCACTACATACCGTTCCAGTCTTTGCGGACCACCTCCTCGATGATGGGTCGGTGCACTTCAGCCAAACGCTGTTCCCGTTTTAAGGATGCCGTCTCTCCGAGTGGTCGCCATCGCCACCGATCTTTGTCCCCATCGGTGGCCAACGGTTTCAGATCGGGTTCGGTGTTTAGATTGCCGGTGGGGGGCATATATGCGGCGCCCTTTTGCTGCAATAACAGCGCACAGCCTATCAATGAGAGAAAATGGTTGCGATAAGTGGTGGACACGTATAGGGAAAGAGTAGTATGTGATGGAGATCGAGGGGGAAGGGGTTAGGATAGGGTGTTTATTCCGGTTATATCGATATAACTATATTACTTATGGTGTGAATAGTAATGCAAATTGTAATCAGAAATTGTGTGTAAAATCAATGGTTTAATTCATTCCCATATCCGCAACAATGAGTTTCATCACTCGCTTTGCATTACTATTCAATACACCAGAGAGAGATTAATACTTATGTTTAAAAACACAGAATGACATAAAAATGGTAAAACTTCTACTAAATCGAGATTATAAGCCCGAAAAGGACCGACGGGTTTGGGCCGTACGGCCGGCACAGCCGCAGTTGGACAACAAAACCTGTGTCGATACCAAAACCCGGGACACCAACGGCTGGACAGTGTATCATCACATGGCGACCCCTTTGGTTAACTATACATATGCCAACTCCGACGCCGTGTTGGCCCACTTGTGGCCCTCGCGAGCGATACTGACGCTGACCAACAACGAGGGCCGGACTGCCAACCAATTGGCCTGCGATCGGATCGCTCGTAATCTGGAGGTGAAGTTCCAGGAGTTGATGCTTTTCAACTGGAAGGCACCCGTATTCCCGTCCCTATCACTGACGGTGGATGTGTTGGACCGCATGTTAAACGCATTCCTCAACATTAAGATTGATTATAAGTCGGACGCGAAGAAAATGTGCGAACAGTTGGACGCGGAAGTGATGGATACAGACAACGATAAGGAGCCGGACTTCGTGCCCGATTCTCTCATCGGCATCGACGCAGCGTATGTGCTCTCTCTCTCTCTCTCTCTCTCTCTCTCTCTCTCTCTCTCTCTCTCTCTCTCTCTCTCTCTCTCTCTCAAACACACACAATCACTCACTAAACCATTGATTATCATACTATTCAAAACACAGGGAACTAGTGATGGACATCTCACTGGACATACCGTACGACGTGTTGCTCACGAAAGTAGACCTCGAGTACGGAGTGTACGGTCTCTACAACTTCTACATAATGCAAATCGTTGAGCACCGGGTGAAGGGTCTCGTCATACTATTCACCCGATGGGGTCGTGTCGGCGACACCGGACAGTACCAGAAGACCCCCTACGCCACTGTCGAGGAGGCGGCCGACGAGTTCCGGAAGATATTTCGGGCCAAAACCGGTAACCACTGGCAGACGGGGTTCGCAGCGCAGCCCAAGAAGTACCGGTTGGTTGAGCTCCAGAAGCGCCGTCGACGGCGCGCCCGGGAGTACAAGTTTGACTCCTTGTCTAAGGCTATCGTCGACAAGAGAGGCGATGGTCAGGAGGAGTCGGTTGAGGCCAAACTGCCGGCACCGCTCCAGAAGCTGATGAAGACACTGATCCGCGTGCATACCGGCGGCGATTCGTACCGATCGCTGGCCACCGGCCGCGAGAGCGCTCACCACAAGCCGTTCGGCGGACTCCTGTCCGACGAGTCGCTGACCAAAGCGGAAGATGTGTTGACACGGATGGAGGCGCTGGTCGTCCAGAGGGACGGCATTAAAGATCAACAGCACTCGGATGACTACCTTCGGGTGACCGGCGAACTCGTGGACCTATCGGAACAGTTCTATCACTTGATCCCAGTGTTTGGCTATCAGTACGAGAAACTCAAACCACTGTTCACTCGCCAGGAGTTACGCGACAAACAAGAGTTGGTCCACAATTTGATACACTTTGAGTTCGCGTCGGA